ACTCCATGTTTGCCAGTTAGCGTTAAGGGGGGCTGGGCAACCCAGAAAGGCTGGGGACCTGAACCCAAAAGGAAGGGCAAGACTCTGAGAGGACGCTGACCTCACACTAATTCTCAGTCAGTGTGGAGGATCTAAGGACGGAGTCAGGCAGGCCTGGCGTCAGGTGCGCGAGCACGCGGGCTGCGCCTGCCCGGGCGGAAAGGGCCCGGTCCGAAGCCACCCACCCGGGACCTGCCTTCTCCCGAAGCGCAGTGTGGCTGGGGCTGCTTCGGGAACAGCGGGAGCCCCGCGTTAGGTACCATCTGCAGAGGCCGGGGCCCAGAGGACCCACATAGGGGGGGCGCCACTAATGGGCATTTTTAAAAATATATATTTTATTGATTTTTTACAGAGAGGAAGGGAGAGGGATAGAGAGTTAGAAACATCGATGAGAGAGAAACATCGATCAGCCGCCTCCTGCACACTCCCCACTGGGGATGCGCCTGCAACCAAGGTACATGCCCTCGACCGGAATCGAACCTGGGACCCCCAAGTCCGCAGGCTGACGCTCTATCCACTGAGCAAAACCGGTCAGGGGACTAATGGGCATTTTAACCCTCAGCCCAGAGCTGCCACTGGGCGGGAAGGGCCGCGGTGTAGACGCAGGAGGAGGCTGGTTGGGAGCAAGGGCAGCCTGAGGCCAGCTCACCTCTCCGCTCCCCGGGGCTGGGTGCAGGCAGCAACCCCAAAAGCGGGGCAAACCCCAGCTGCCCGGCATGGGAGGCCTGTTCCCTGGAGAGCACAGCTCCCGTCACCAGAACCCTGTCCAGCCGGGACGCACACAGCAGCCTCCGCAGAATCCACTCTAGTGACACTGAGTCACTCACTCCTCAAGCAAAGCACAGCTGGGAGAAGGTCGGGTAGTCAGAAAGCCTCTCCTCCCCGCCCCCCAGGTTGTCTCCTGTGTAAACCATTGTGTCCCGTGAACTTGAGAGTGGGCCCTGCGCGCACGCTGACAGCACCGAAGCCGCTGGCTCTCGGTTTCGACCTCCGGGCCATCCTCCCGTCCAAGAACGGGAGCTGGAGTGAGACCAGGGCATCTGATCAGACGGGGCCCGCGGGGCCAGCCTGGAGGGCCCAAGGGGCTGGAAGCCTGGGACGTGCCCAGGACGGGACGAAGGTTTCCAATCTCAAGAGGAGCTTGGGAAAGAGTATGGTGCTGGGGGCGAGGGCAGGCGCGACACCAGGCACCTCTCCGCATGCCCGAGCCAGGCCAGGCGGGAGCTGTCTGGGCCGAGCTGGCAGGCAGGGTGGGCGGGCGCTCAGCTGGCTGCAGCTTGATCTTGCACGGGCGGCACGTCTGCTACCCGGGAGCCGTGTCCAGGCGCAGGTGCAGTGTGACAGCGACAGCGAGGGCGGCCGCGATTGTCCGGGCTCAGCGCTCAGTCCCACCCCCTGCAGCGTGACATCACCCACCCCGGCCTCCGGAATGCACTGGCCTAAGAAGGAAAGGCTCCAGTCCTTTCTTTCTCTCCGAGTGTCACGCTTTTCCATAAGCATCTCGTGCTCCTTGAAACAAACCACTTGCACGTGGATTTGGGCACCGCGGGCGGGAGGGGTCGGGGGTGGGGCGTGCGTCCCGG